AGAGAGAGAGAGAGAGAGAGAGAGAGAGAGAGAGAGAGAGAGAGAGAGAGAGAGAGAGAGAGAGAGATTCCATGTTCATTGTTTAGTGCACGCCGCCGCTCTCACGAAGGATAGGACTTTCTCTTATTCCCTCTAAGAAAGCAATTATATGTACAATTACAATCAATTCAATAAATGCAATCGCGGAATCTATTGAATTGAAATTAAATTAAGGACTTTCAAATAATAACCAAATCGCCCCATAAGTATGTAACTTCGAGCATTTCTCGATTTATGTGTGCCATCGTGAACTTCTTTGGAATATGTGAGACAAAACAATTACAGAGGACAGCGCCCGGTTCGATTCCTTGTGTGCACGAATGGGCCTGAGGCCAAAGAGAGTATGGTTCCGTAACTACTCTTCGGGCTTCTCAATGCTATTGTGAATGTCCTCTCGCTGAACCTGACAGCATGTAAATCGCTTGCCCGTTCACACGTGGAACCGAACCGGCACCTTGACTTCAAGAGCCAAGTCCTCTCACTGAAGTTGACAACATACAATCGCCCATGCACACATGGAAGTCGAAAACGTTGATCTGCCTATGAAATTACTATTTTTTTTCATTAAAAAAAAATTGTCTGCCGACGACAGTATTAGTTGTCGCCAAAGAGGACGAAGTGGACAAAAAACGACAATCTGAACGCTGAACAGTCCGCAGAATCCCCTAACTGATCATATTGTAAATAATAACCCACCTTCACCTGCATTTCTTAACCAGGTTCATTAGCAAACAATACTCCGTATGTTGTGAATTTTAATGAGATCCGCCCTTGGGACACATATCTAAGATCCCAATTACTCGCATCTTGGCTTTTTTTTTTTCCCCCTTCTGCTTTTTCATCTCATCTTTTCGAAGCAGCCATTTGCTAATTTCCCTTTTCTTATAACGTTCCGTTATTTACGGATGTGCCTAAGGACATCATGTGTATTTCCCGAAATATTGTTCGCACGGTCATACATTTTGCCCGCATCAATGACGTGGGCAATGAACAAGAAATGAAGACCTCTTTGAAAGTATGCCACTCCCTCAAAGATTATCTCATGGCCATACAGAGGAGCATTCCCCGATCCTAAACCAAACGATTGAGCGAAGACCTCACAAGTAAGTCTAAAGTCTCCTTACTTCTCAGCCTCGACATGAATGGGCCCATCAGATGAATAAAATAAAATACTTCTGAATTATCTGGGGCGGTTGACTGATGCTATCTAAAGGTGGTCGCCACTTTAACAAAAAAAATAACGAGAAGCCCAATCAAGCGTGCTCAATTTACATATGGAATTATATTGTAAGACTCTGACTGTTGTTATAAATACATATACACATGAGGCTACCCGCGAACCTTATGAAAGTGTGATAACAGTCTAAAATTCCTTTCCTATTGTGTTTGTTTCTCCATTCTTTCCTGCGTGTTCTGTTGTTTTTCTTTCCTCTCATTTGCATGGATCCTTGCAGCCGAATCGTCACATGTTGTTGAACAAAGAGCACATGCAGTGCATGTACAACGACAACGACGATACAGATCAGGATGCATTCAACGCATTTCGCCACACCTTAATAATGCACGTCTCCACACACTTACATTGATTACTGCACACATTCCTGTTGACAACGTTGCCCTTGGCGACAAAACACCATGTAGACAATGCGCCACCCATAAATGGGGACACGAACACGCTTGAACCACCTTGTGCTATCGTTAAACCACCAGTACTTGGCCCAGCTATCGAGTCCGAGTCCCGACCGACCGGTACGTCGATCCGGGTCGAGGCTCAGACTACCGAGCGCAGGCATCCCAAACCTACATCTGAAGTACAAAAAACAAAAACGGGAAAAACAAAACGACAAACGCATCGCATAAGAAAGGGTACTACTTCCTCGTGGGTGAGGGGGGGGGGGGCCTAGGGGGAAGAGAGAGAGAGAGAGAGATGCCAAAAAGGAATGCATCTTCCATAGAAAAGCGAGAAGATACATTCCCTTTTGACACTTACGAAGAACGCCTGTAAGAGAGAGAGAGAGAGAGAGAGAGAGAGTCGCCGCAAACGGCCTGCCATTGTCGCTGCCCTCCGTGCAGCGCAGTGACTCTCTCTCTCTCTCTCTCTCTCTCTCTCTCTCTCTCTCTCTCTCTCTCTCTCTCTCTCTCTCTC